GGGGGGGGGGGGAGGGGTCGGAGAGGAGACGGGCCTGGCCGGGACGGCTCGTTCTGTGGAAAACGCGCGGGGGAGGGGGGAGTCCAGGCGCCTCAGCCCGCCCCCAACGGCGCGTCTGTCCCGCCGAGCCCGCGCGCCCACCTGGCTCACCCCGCGCCCCTGTGACGGCTCTTCGGGCCGCCGTCGCGAGAACTCCATCCAGGGCGCATGCGCCTGGCCCCTGCGTGCTGCGCGATAGGGGCCGGATCTGGCCGTGCGGGATGGAAACTCCGGGCCGGAATCGCCCTGCCGGGGGAAGGAGCCGGATCCTCTCCTCGCGCTGCTTTGCTGGGCGGGGCTCCAGTGACTCAGGCGGCCCGGGCAGCAGCGGGCACCTCTCCCCGCCCCTGCGGCGCTGCGCAGGGATGCAGGGAAGCCAGGCAGCGCCACGGGCCTGGGATTTAAAACGTGCCCTGCGTTCCTGGCCTGTGGCGTACGGGTCCTGCTGCCGATGGGACCACGTCAGGTGCTTTCCTTCTGCCAACCGCGACTTGTCTAGCCCGGAGCAGGGGGCTGCAGAGGAAACTTTCAAAATGTGAATTCAACGTGCTCAGGCAGCAAAGCCAAAGACCCTTTCTGTTGCCATTCACTGGGCTTTTATTAGGTGACAGTTCGTCCTTGGTTCTGAATTTTAGATAGGTAAGATGTTTTTGGCGCACAATCTTTGGTTTTTGAATGATTTTAAGGTGGCCGTTTTTGAACGATGTATAACAGCGGTTCTCAAACTTTTTGGGCTCCAGAGCCTTTTACATGTGTCGAAATTTATGCAGAGCCCCAGCGGTCCACTGATTATATGTGTTGTACCTATCGATGTTTCCAGTTTGTCAACCTCGCAGAGCCCCTGGAGTTGTCTCTCCGTGGAGCACAGTTTGAGAAATACTGATGTATAAAATGTTTTGGGTTTTGTCATTATTGTTAGTTATTTTCCTGCTTATGTTTTAACTTATCAAGATCATATTTTTAAGATTAAGGTCTTGTCTACACTATACAGTATTGTCACCAAGCTTCAGGTTTCATTAACAAAAGAGTGAAGAGATACATCCAACAGAGCTCCTCCCCTGATGTAACTTTTGCTACACCAGCATAATAAGGTCACCTTTGCGACTGGCATAGAGCTTTTGCAACAAAGCTAAAACATAGTATAGATACTGCATTTGCTTATGTCGCTTCCAGGAGGTGTCCCACAAGCCCATCATGACCACTCTGATAGGCAGTTTCCACTACTCTACTCTGCAACAATATAAATAGCAAAGTGACCATCCCCTTTAAAGCCCCAGGAATTTTTGAAATTCCACTTATTTGCTCAGAGTGGACAGCACACATTTCATCTTCCCAGCTGACCATGCTGGCTTTCCACAGCAAACAAGTTGTACAGGCAGTCCCCGGGTTACGTACAAGATAGGGACTGTAGGTTTGTTCTTAAGTTGAATTTGTATGTAAGTCGGAACTGGCGTCCAGATTCAGCCGCTGCTGAAACTGACCAGCGGCTGACTACAGGAAGCCCGAGGCAGAGTTGATCAGTTTCAACAGCGGCTGAATTTGGACGCCTGGGACAGAGCAGCTGGGGCGTTGCCGGGTAGGTCCCCGCAACTGTGCC